GAGCAGCCATGAGCAAGTATCAGCTCAAGCTGAACTGAGGCACTTCTGGCATTTCTCAAACATCAGCAGTAGCGTTCAAATCATTTAAAGATTTTCATGGAAAGACTACATAGCAACCTCGTAAATGCAATCAGACCTCACATGAAGCTCCTTCACTTCTGGCTCCAATTCTAGATAAAAGCAGAAATTTACAGCTTCTGACTGCTTACAGCTCCCACTGAAGTCAGATACATGTGTATTTAGCAACGTTAGGTGCGAAGCCATTTTTAAAGCATGCACACCTGTGAGTCTTTGGCACCTCAGTTCAAGCCCTCGGATTTGAAATTCTGGACAAATATTTTTTTAGCTCTAATTTTAGAAGAAGAAAAAGCAATCATTGTGGAGATGAAGATCCTGACAAAATACTGCACAGAAGATATTTTCTGAAGGTGATGGAGGTGAGCATAAAAGATACTTCATGAGGCTGCTCAAAGGGCAACTCGCAAGGAGACTGAAGATGGAGAATCTGGCTGTGGATATAAAAGCAAGCCTACACAATAGCTAATGCTGAAGAAGGTAAAAGGTGGGGCAAGGAAAGCACTCTCACCTCAAGCTAAAAAAACAGTGAGATCTGGTTTTGCACAGAGCTAACAATGTGTCTGCCTTAAAACAAGGCTTGCAGCATGTCACATAGGTAAAGGGCATTTTACCAAAAATCTGCATTATTATTTCCTTTTTCTTTAAGTCCAAGTTATTTTAACCTTTAAATTGTTAAAATTTAGTAACTACTAAACACATTTCAGGCCACCCCTCCCCTGCACATCTATTCTGTAAGTTATTGATACTGCACTCAATTAACCTTGGTAAGTGACTGTAGGCTGGATGCTGCCTCACAGATTCAGTCATTCTTGCTCAAAGCCACAGTTTGCATACAAACCACTGAATGGCAGCACTTAAATCTCCAAGTAAAATTGCCTTAATGGAAGCAAAAATGTACATACATGACATTTGTATTCATATTTGTATTCGTACTAAGCCTCACATTTATTTATCTGAAAACCTGAACATTGGGCAAAATCTATGCAGATTCTGTCCTATTAAATAAAGAAGCAAATGCAATTACGATTCAAAAAGTTTACAAAAATGTATTTTCCTATTTCTTTGGGTGACAACTGAAGGCATATGACTGCAATTCCAACCTATGTACTATGCTTGTATTGGCTTTTGTAGAGAAGAGAAAATGGAATGAGCCGGCAATCCAATTTCTATTAGCGAGTCCAGTCCAAAGAACACTTATTGAGGTACATAAAAGTCCAAAAGCTATTGGGAGTGGCAATGAATTACAGAGAGGCTCCACACAAAGGAACTCACAGGTATCAGGACAGAAGCATAGCATGATCCACAACAGCTACAAACCAGTTCTCACGCACCTGAGACCCAACTCTGGTTGCACCAGCACACGTAAATGAGAGAGCGTAACTGTTTCACCTTGTCCTTGCTCTCAAGCTGAGAACTGGTTGTGCACACATTTTAAGAAGCCAGCTTTTCATCATTATACTATGGTTTATGAGGAGAGAACAAAGTATTATTTCCTCCATAATACAATAAAGCACCATGCACAGTTGTTTCTACGATTATCCTCCTGTATACACTGTGCTGATGGCAGTGTTGTCATGAGAATTACCTCACTGAAAACAAATGAGGGAATTGATATGATATTGCCAGTCTTTTGCGTTGCTCTTTGTGTTTCTATATTACATCTCTTCTTTTTTAACCTTTGGATTGTTTTCCCTATTTGTAATGCAAACTACTGGGAGCAGCAGTAGTTTGCTTTCACAAATGGCATTCTTCCACATGGGGCAAGTTAACAAAAACCAATGGGTTAGCATCATACAACAGTATTTGTCTTGACCAATTTTTAGCACGTACGCGCTGCACACTGCGCAAGTGCAACTTCCCCATTTGATCCCAGTTTTCAAGTGGCTTTCCATTATCTCAAGCTCTAAAGGAATATTTAGTGTAGTCTCTAAGTCTATATGGTTTAGTATTAGATACGGAGGTTGGCAACCCTGCATGCAGCAGAGGGGTTGGAGCTTGATGATCCTTGAGGTCCCTTCCAATCCAAGCCATTCTATGAACAGCTGGGTTAAAATGGATCTGTGGAGATCATCCACATCAAGCCCCTGCTCATGGCAGTGCTAACTTTGGAATCCCATATGATCAGGGTACAATTCAACATTTTTACAGTGACTACTCTGGCAGAATACCAGTCTTATGGAAGCAATAATATAAATCAGGTATTTGCGTAGATCAAAGGTGTACTGAAAATTATTTAGGTACAACATCTTCATTAAATGGTTTGAGTTCTCCTTTCACTATAAGTCACCTTAAAAGATTGTGGGGAAAAAAAAAAAAAAAGAATAATTAAAAAGGTGATATTGATTTCAGCGCTGGGCTCCAGTTATACAGTTGCGTATTGTCAAAACACGCAGTAAAGTGTAGCTACCTTTACAATCATTTCCTGAGTTTTGTATGGTTTATATCCTCACTGTATAATTAAAAAACCAAAATCATTGTTTGTAGATAGAATTATGAAAAAAAGATAAAAGGAAATAAGGAAATTTCAGGACAGAAAATAAAACAACTTGGTTAAAATCGCCAGGCAAGACGCTGAAAGAGTATCTATGTTATGTACCTTAGCTTAAGGAATGTGCTCCTCTTCACCATACCTTTGAAAGTCTGCAGAATACAGCTTCAAGAGCTGCAAAGCATAGGAACCATATGAGTGTAGAAAGGGCTCTGCACTGGGAAACTACCAATGGCGAGAATCACTCATCATGAGATGTAAGCACGAACTTCTACAGGATTTAACACCTCAGAAAAACAATTAGCATGATTGCTTACTTGATGAACAGGGTGAATTTTATTCAAATTTAATACCATTGAAAACACTTGCAACACTGCACTTCTGCATGAAAAAACAAGCCCTCTCTTCACTGCATTTCCATTTTCTGTTCTGTACCAGTTTCTTCTCATATTTGTTTCACCTGCTATCAGATTTAAGAAACTATAAGTATCAGTTTCATTACTACTCCATATCTTGCCCGTATTTGATTACAGTATGCTGTCACTTTAGTCCTGAAAATGAGCTTTGCTTTCTAGCCTGCAGCTTGTCAAAAATTAAAACAGTGGTTATCTTTTCTTCATAACAAAAATGAATCTCCAAATATTCCAAAAGCAGTAGCTAAGTTTTGGCATATTGTCTCCTGGTCTGAAACTGATTGGACTTTGCTTATCTCTACAGTTGGTCAAGGAAAGAAGTAGGTGCTCAGCCCTTCCCCATAGGAAATGCCATGCCAGGGTCATTTAAACTGAACAGAACAACAACATTTCAAAAGTATATTTTTTCTCAAAAGCTGAACACTTTGCAGAAAAGCAAAGCTAACCATTCTGATCAGACATCTTTTCAAACAGTAGTAATTCCTTAAGAAAATAACTGCTGTTCATCCCCCCCCCCCCCCCCCCAGAGACTCCCACTGCATTTTACAACTGAGGAATTAAATACAGGCTCATTTTGTATTTCTGTTACCTGATTGGTTCCATTAAAGAGAGATGCAGTGGTGCTGGGCAGAGTGTAGCAGCCGCACACTGTTGCTATTTCTCCTTGGTAGGTTTTAAAGGATTACAGCTGCTCCTTTGGCTTCTCTTGTGAGAACTATCCAGCAGCTTAATTAAGCAACTCTATTAACATCTCTTTTCTTACTGCAGCCTTATGGAGAATCACACTTCCCTGGACGCTTCTGGTAGTTGAGTTAGTAAGCCTGGATATTAAACCATGTCAGCTGTGTCCTTTGACCCCAGCTTTGCCTTGGAGGGTACCTCTGGTTTGGCAGCCAAATTCTCTGCTTCTTTACCTATCCCTTCATCTAACAATGAAATCCATCCTCCAGTGCTTTTCAACAGCACACAGCAGGTTAGGAGCAGGAGAAACAACTGCCCAATTAAAATCAAGGTGTCTGATGTGCAGTAGGCAAACTGAAATCTGCCTGAGCTATCAGGGCAAACACCTTCAGGCTTATGCAATTAACCTCAGGATAATTGATGACCACAAGCAATCAAGCTGTGGTTGGGGGTCTCATGCAAGAAACATACTAGGGCATATCATTCAGTATTGACTCAGAGAAAAGGGCTCCACTGAATCAATAACACCATCTCCTGAAGTGCAGTGGGTTTCCTTCAAAATCTTCCTTAATTACCAGATGAAATCACCAGGTGCTTGAAAGACTTGAAAGAGTAGCTACAGGTGTGCTAGTGTTCCCAGTGCCTCTGTAAGCTGTTGCATACAAGGAATGGTAAAACCCTTTAGCTGACTGTGGGGAAGAAAAACATACCACTCAAAATCATCCCCTGATCATTTACTAGAATGATTTAGTAACAATACAGGCAAAAGCATGCATGGGGAACTTTATGGTACTACCAAAGAGATATAAATAAAACAAGAAAAAAAAAAAGAACTCTTATTCTGGAGTTCCAGGGGCCATGCAAAGAGCTGTACCCAAACCACTACTCTGATAAGACAGCAAGGGAACACCTCTTTCAAATAAGTCCTTCACCTTTCCTCCCCTCTACCTCTTACTCTTCATTTACCTTTCACTTCAGACTGAGAGCTTGGTAAAAGCTGAGTTTTCTTCTGCTATGACTTTTATGACTTCACCTTCACTTAAAGAACTGATTTTTATCTATTTATTAATTTTTAATGAGGACAGCTATTACATTTAATTCCCTGGAATTATTACCTTAATGTAACTGTTAGAGGTTCATTCCCAGCAGGTGTATTCTATTGACCATAAGCAGCCACCCTGCCATAAGATCCCTTTTGTTTTCTCATTCCTGAAATTCCACACTGAGGATCAGATCTGGAGAAAACCATTTGATTAGCAAGGAATTTCCCTATTTTTTTTTTTGCATTAGAGATGTAAGCTCTATTACATAAATGCTCTATCCCAGTGGTGGATCTGGTGTCAAAAGTGTCTGAAAGTCAGTGAAAAAACTTGTTGTAAAAGAGCTAATTAATAACAGAGCTCAGGGTGCTTAAGAAGCTGAATCTATGGAGACTGAAGAAAGTATTTTTAAACCCATTCTGGAGCTGCAGTTATTAACAAATGGTTGATCATCACAGACATCATCCTGTGGTTGCTTCCACTCTGTTTCTCACAGTGACCTCAGCAGCAAAGGGAAGCAAATCAGAAGAGTATTGAAAAATCAAAATAAAACCAAAATAAAATTAATTAGTATAGCCTATCAAGGTACTTGTCATGTCTGTGCACATACAGCTGAGCTGAGTCTTGCATTCAAAATAACAATCCAATGGCATTTGCTATTGTTTTTTTTTTAACGTAGAAGAGGCACGGTTTTCACGAAGACTTACAGCACAACTATAAGAGCACACAGTGAATTTCCTGAGAATTTACAAGTACGTTCATTAACTAATTTACAAAGTAAAATTAGTTTAAAATATGGATCCATTAAGAAAATTGATGCTTTGGGTTTGACCTTTTGTTTATTTGTTTCTGCAGCCTTGGTAGTGGATTAATCCAAACCTTCATCGTATTCAGAGACTGCAAGGATCTGCACTGACAACATCTGAAGGTTTTTCCAAGATTGGTGGCCTTTTCTTTTCTTTCTTTCTTTCCTTTTTTTTCCCTCTATCATACTTCTTATCAAAAATTCCCTCTTAAAAAAACAACTCATGTTAAATTTTTTCCTTCAGAGGATGCTATGAGGAACATCTGAAGATACCTGAGAAGCCCCCAGCTAGAACGGCCCTTTCACTTCCCACCAGGAGGGACAATTCGCTGCAGTTCTTCTGTAAACAGAGGGAAGCAGGCGCTGCTCTGAGTGATGAATCTCCTAACTGTGTGCAGACGGATCAGTCCCACTGAGAACTGCCTTGTTGCGTTGTCGTGGGAGAGAAAAAATGTTATGCTTAACATCATTTAAGGCTAACCTGACATCACAAACGTTCAGAGGCTTTGATTATTGCATGAGATCACTGCAGTAAAAGGAGAAGACAGCATTAAACAATTAGGCATGTAGTACAGATGTAATTACTTGGGATACAGGAGATAGCAATATATGCTTTGTCAAATCAGTAGGAAAAGGATGCAGCTGTTGTACGCAGCCCCTGCTGAAGGTAATACAATGATTGTGATAATGCCTATATAATCTTCAGCAATGTAATACTGCAATTCTATTCATCCTCTTTCTACTAAGAATCTCAAAGAATTTAATTACTTCAATAAATTAAGATTCTCCTTCTGTTCAGATCAGGAAAATATTTTAAGACTAGATCCACTTCTTTACAGAGAACATCAGAACAGAGAAAATCAGCAGAATTTTTGTTTAGTTTGATGGATTTAATCTCAGAGACTTTCTACACCATTAGGATAATGAAAAAAAAGGAGAAGCCAAACACATTCAGGTTCCACAAAGGCACTGTTTGTATGCTTGCATAACGAACATACAACTTGAAACTTCAAACTGTAAACTAATAACCCTCTCAGAAAGTATTTGTTCCATCCACGTGTAGAGACCCAACAGTGGGTTGGGTCACCTTTCTCTGAATCATTAAGTTTTGACTATTGTTTGGGCAGTGTATGGCATGTGATAGATGTCTGGTCCAATACAGCCAATCCCATGTACAAACAGTTAGATAGAATGTCTCCAGTATCTTACCCTTAGGTGCATGAAAAGCAATTATTGGGGCACATTCATGCACTGAGACAGTTTTAAAAGTTTGTCTACATCTTAAGATAATCCCTGCATCAACTGCAAGGTTAAGGAGTGTGTTTCCCATGCCAGAACTCAGCTGGAGCTTGAAAGGGCTGTGACCTGGAAACACAATGTTGCTACTTACGTAGCTGGATTTTTTAAAAATAAAATTTAAAAAGAAGAGATGTCAGAGCTCTGAGGGTTGAAGATTTTACTCTAAGGGTTACTGGTGAATTTGTCATGATGAGACAATAAAAAAAGAATTGGGGAACTAAAAAGAGAAGTATAGAGAACGCGAGGCATACAGTGCCTCAGGGAAAAGAATGGCATGTAATTATAACCGCACGCTGCTCTGAAAAGATAAAGCTGCATGTAAAAAGGTTATAGGCTCAGGGAAAGGGAGGAAAGATGGATCTTGGAACTCCAAAAGAGGGGGAAAAAAGGATTTAATCATGTATCAGTGCATACTGTTCATTTAGGTATTCCAGTCATTTTCTTTCTCTCATAATATTTTGCAGTACTGACCTGTGAACTCAATGCCAGCATAATGTGGCCATTTCTAGCAACCTTATTCCTCAAAGGTTCCTCTCCCCTGCTTAGATGTTATTTAAACGGTACCTTGGTATGGTTCTCTAATCAGCAGAAAAATTTTAAAAAATGTAAGTCTGCAAGGCAGAGCTCAGGCCTTTTCAAGATCACATTTTTCATTCTCACCTGTCTGGAATTCTTCTAGTGACAGTATTTACAACAACTTGGCTTCAGAGACAGCATTCTGAGCTAAAGCCAGAAAAAGAAAAGATGCCCTTCCTCTCATCTTCCTCTCAGATGACCCATTTGGAGAAGACCAATATCTGTGGCTCAGTAGTGGCCAGACTTCAAAAGCATACGAGTGAAGCATTGAATGTTCTATCACAGGGAATTTGTCTCCACCTCAAAACATGAAGGTGATGGTATCTAGCTCATACCATACCAAATTTTTTCATATTTGGGCAGGTTTTCTTTTTCCACTCTCTTTAAAAACTGCTCATTTGAAAACATATTTAAAATGTAGGCAACACTACAACATGCAGCAATAAGGCAGCTTTGTCTAGAGAGTAAGAAACAAGATCAAGAATTTAGTTTCCAAACCCATCTCAGCTAAAGATTTGATGTGCATCTCCAGGCAAGTCCCATCAACTCTCCATACTATTGGAGAGACCTGTGAAATGCAGGGTAGCTGTACTGGAGATATTTAAATGTGTTGGGGCACTGAAAGCCATAAAGCTTGATTCTGGGAAGACCTGTTCATTTTTTCACATTGAGAAATTAATTGTGCCAGTACGGCTTTAAGGGCTTCTGTCCTCACAGTGACACTGCTTTTATTTATACATATTTATATGTATATATGCATTATTATAACTATAAATTGAGAGTGCTCACACTGACTCACCTTAAGTGCAAACAGACAAAATTCCCTTCAATAGCCAACAATTTGTGAAGTCATTAAGACAAAAAGTTTATAGAGGAAAAGCAAAGTTACTGCCATAAAACCCTTGTTGGTAACATACTTCATTTTCTGCTGCCGCAAAATATGAAGAATGGTGGAAAACTGAGCTGCAAGCACTAGAAATTTTCCCTTGAGGGAGCTGCAAAATAAAGTTTTTTGAAATATATCATAGAATTTATGGATGCTGTTCGTGCTGACGGGAATATGGCTTGCAGCCAGCCCTAAGCCTTAAGTCAAGTGCGTGACAGCCATCATATTCAGTATAGCATTTTGAGGACCTGCAAGAGGACAATACGGTTACATTCCTCTTAAACAAAAACCAGACTCAGGAGAGAGAGAAAAAGGTAGAGGATGACAAGGCCTTATTATATTGTAAAAACCAAAGGAACTGAAATGAGCCCCAAACACAAAGGGGTAGCAAGTGTTGATAGAAGTACTTCATGGTGAAACATATGGCATTTTCTCAGCCACAGTGGTTGGGCCCTTCTGACTACTTATATCAGAGACTAAACTTGGCAGTGAGAATATTTTATGGCATATAACTAACAGCTCCACTAAGAGGAGAATTTCAAGTATTTTACTGTTAAGGGAAGAAGCATAACGAAGGGAGTAAAGAACATTTTCATTATGTCAGGCAGTAAAAACAAACCAGAAGAGACTGCCTACAGCAGTGGTTCCAGACCTGTGGCTTAACAGCAACCTCTTGCCTGCCAAACTTTCAGATATTGCTGGTGGCCACAGAGAGCTGCTGTCAAGCTGGAAATTGATGGGGAAGGCAAAGTGTAACATTGTACAGAGGGTATTGCTTCTCACTGCTGTTGCTCTTCAATCAGCAAAAATGGAGGGCATTGGCATGTGGTTCCAAGAGTGGAAGGTAAGGAGAGTGGGGGAAAAAAAAAAAAAAAAGAAATAGTTTGACTAGATAAAGAAAGACAAGGTTTGGAGAGAGAAATGATGTCTTTTACTAGAGTAATAGCTATAGCTTACAAAAACCAGACAGACATCCAGACACTCTATGCCTTCTGCAAGCCAATGTAAGAACACACAAGAGATCAAGACTGACAGCTGAGTACTCTAGGGGTTGTAAAAACTTCTGTCTTGTGAATAAGCCAATTTTTGTTCAGCCCTGGAAGGTGCCACACTCTTAACAATTTTGGAAGATCTGTGTGGAGAGCAATGAGAGGTGAAGCTAACTTCAAAATCCAGACAGCAGAACTAAGCCAAATTATGTGGGTACGTTTTGCATTGCCTATCTACCCCTCTCCATGTTACTCTGCTTCCTACAGACATACGGGAACAATGTATAGGGCTTTTTTTGCATTTAAACTCTTATCTAAGGGACCATTGAATTTGGATTAAAAAAATAAATAAATAAAACAGAAGTACATATCACGAGATAGAAAAATAAGAGAAAATGCCTCCATGGCATACTTTTTCTCCATATGTCTTTTCTCCACGTTTCCACTCATTTCACCATCACATGATAGCATGGGTTTATGTCAGATTCAGAGACCCGTGAGCAAAAACTGAAGAATGGAACCCTCTCTCCTTCCAAGTGGAGGACTCTTGCTGGTGGCTGAATTGGCTAGACTTTTCCACACAATCAGAACCAGTGGACAGCTTTTCAAGGATTCTCAACCCAAAACCCAAATCTTCTTCCTGCCACGCTCATTTACTAGAAACCTGATCAATACAAAACCTTTCTTCTCCAGACAAATATGTGACAGCTTTTCCTACTGCTGATGAAGAGATTATTATCTTTTCTAAGAAAATTTTGTACAAACAGGCAGTACTAAATAATGTCTTGGAGACTGATGTCCTTTTAATCCTAAGTTATCTGCAAGGCAAGTCAAGCAACGTGAGCTTTCTCCTTGAACAAAAACATGTGTGAAGCACACACAGTCCTTGCCATGGAGCTGCATAGTGCTCTATCCTAAAGAAATGTCTGGTACCAATGCTGTATATTGCACTTACAACGTACCGAAAAGCTTTATAAGAACGTTACAAAGCAATTAAGGAGAAATCACATTCAGGCCCTGCCCCCAGAGACACCAGCACATTTCCCAGGAGCCATCAAATGGAGGGTTGGTGATGCCAGATCTACAGCTGCCAGAACTTTTCTTTTTTTTTTTTCCCTAGGCATCTTGCCCCAGTCAGTGTGATCACACTGGATGTCTTGGAGACACAATAGCCTGATCTGTCTCAGGGGAACCTTAACGTTTCTGGGAAATCTGGATATCTCTTTACATTGTGCTTCTGGCTGAGAAAAAAAAAAGAGAAGAAAAAACTCCCCATTATTTTCTTCCCAAAACTACCGTGCTTCTGAGCACATTCCTGATCCCCCACAGACAAGCAGAACAACTTGATGCAGTGGCGGCACGACTGAAAATTTACTAAATCCAGAGCCTTGCAGCTAAGACTTTCCTTGTTAAATTCTACAAACAGAAAATATCACACTTATTTAACCAATACTACTCTTAAAACTTCAGAGAAAAAGAAGCAGAGTAGGTCTGTACCTTTGTAGGGCTGGTGGTTGCACTCTGCTGTTTCAGAATCTGTGTTGAGATAAAGCGATGGGGAGTTTCATAACGCAGCAACCAACTTGCCTCCTGCCTTCAGCACCAATGCTCAGCATTGGCTGAAAGCCCATGGAGCCATTTGGGACTAAAGGGCTTCACCATGGCATCTTTGCTTTTCCCTTGCCAAGCACAGCCAATCAAGCCAGCAGCGTGTAAACCACAAACCACGCAGGAACTCACAGGCTCGGCTGCTTACAGAGATGGGTGTGGGGCTCAGTTTTGTGTGGTTTTATTCTTCTACTCTCACGGTGACAGGCGCTTGAGAACAGTTTCTCAGAGTGCTACAGCTGTTCTCTGCTCCAGCTGCATTTCAAGCACTGGGGCACCCCATAACTTGCTCAACATTCGGGTATTTGATGCATCTGTCTGGAAAATACCAGTCTGTTACATGCAAGTAGGGGTCTGCAGAAGCAAGCTGTCAAGCATGTCCTGAAAGATGCCTTCTTTTCTAACATGGGGTGACTGGTGGTCATACATTTGCGTTTGAACTTCAGGGGCACTTCTCCTGCTGTGCATGTCTTCTGATGTGACAGAGTCCATGGTTGCACATATACAGTGTGCTCACAGTTTAGCAGGGTCTGTTACAATAGGAGAAGTGACAATGGTTTCAAACTGAAAGAGGGGAGATTTAGATCGGATACGAGAAAAAATTTTTCACAGTAAGAGCTGTGAGGCACTGGCACAGGCTGCTCAGAAAAGTGGTGGATGCTCCATCCCTGGAGACACCCAAGATCAGGATGGAGGGGCACTGAGCACCCTGATTGAGCTGTAGGTGTCCGTGTTCATTGCAGGGGAGTTGGGCTAGACGGCCTTTAAGGGCCT